ATAAATAAATAAGCTAGTGAGAATATATTTAATCCCGTTCTCAGCATGACTATCTTTTCAACTCCACCCTCTTTACAGAGAGGGTTGAGGAACTTGCTCAGTGGAGTGTAGGTTGTGATACAGTGAAAGGGAAAATGAGACTAGGTAACCACCTTCTTCCTAGTTCTGTGGTGCAGTGGTTAAACACACGTCTCTGCTCACTGCTTGAGTTTGATCTCAACAGTTCAGGAAGCTGACTCAAGTCTGACTCAACCTTGCATTCTTCCAAGGTCAATAAAATGAGTATGCAGCTTGCTGGGTGGCAAAGTGTTGTTTGCATAATTATGTTGTAAACAGCCCAGAGAGTACTTTAGCACTGTGGGGTGGTATATAAGTCAAAATAATAACAACCTTCTACTCCTCTGGGCTTGTATGGCCCTACTTATTCCTTCTCCCATGAGTTTCTAGAAGGTATGAGGGAACCCATCAAAGGATAGGATTAAGTGTCTTCTTGGCTTTATACATAAGTGTAGGGCTGGATTCCACCAACTTCCCATACAGAAATAGACACAGAATATTTCCTTTAAAAGACTGGAGCACAAAAATAAAGCATACTGAGTTGGCTGAGTGACAACATTCATGTCTTTGTTACACCTGTTTCTTCTTCAACCTTTCCCTGAATTCTGTATCAACATTCTCCTTCTGCATTACATCACACCATACTTTCTCTTTCAAAAAACTAAGCACCCTTTCCCTAATTCCATTCTCTGACCCTCAATCTCTGAACTCACATTTTCCTTTTAGTTCTTTCTTTCTTGCACCATTCCGAAGGCTTTGGTTGACAATGCACATGTTACGAAAAAGAACATATTGTTATTTGCCTTTGGTTCCTTTTCATTAATTGAATCTATACTAGAGTACTCTACTGTGCTCTGCATGGAATTTTTCTTTGAGGAAGACTTGAAAGCTTCATTTGGTACTAAATGTGTTTTTTCGGGTGCTTGTTGGACTGAGTTGTTGGATTTAGACCAGGTGTGAGAAATTTTGGCTGCCCGGATGTTCTAGACTTTGATTCCAAGGAGTCCCCAACAGCAAGTTCTATAGTAAGAGATCATGGGACTTGTCGTTCAAAAGATCTTGAGGGCCAGAGGTTCTCTGTCCTATTTAAGAAGTAAAAAATTAATAAATAAATGGGTGACTGATGCAATCATGTTTCATTAACATTGTAGCAATTGAATACCCATTCAGTTCAAATAGCTATGCAATAGCCATTCCTTTTCATGGCCCAATTCAAAGTGCTGGTTAGGACCACTAAAGCCCCAGGTTATCTGAGGTCAGAGAATTAGAGGGACCACTGTCATCCATTTTAGAACAGCCCTTTTCCCCACAAGATTGGGTGGACTTTGGAGGCGCTGCTTATTTGCCCATCATTAAGATCAGTTGAAATAATCAGATAAACAACATTGCCTGATTTTACATGTGTTTACTTGGAAATAAGTCTCACTGAGTTCATTGAGGTAAGTGTTCATAGGATTGCAGCTGAAGTCATACATATAATATGCAGACAGAATAAAAATGAAAACATGAATGAATGAAAGCCAACTGAGTTATATCTTTTTAGTACATCATTAAAAAATAATAATAGTTTCAGCATTGCCATAATCTATGTAGCCCTCGTAGGAAACACTGATGTGTTAGCTAAAGTAGTCTTATGTTCCACCCATGACTAATATTTAATGTTGTAAAGTCATGATGTGATGTGAAGCAGGTGAAGATGAATCACAAAAGTGGATTATAGTTTTCCCGACTTCATTTAAAGGTGAACCAGAGTCCTCACAGTGGCCATATCAGATGTCTCTGCCTGATCAGAAGGAGTTCTTTAAGAGTTGGGCAGGGAACTTCACTCACATTTCATCAACCTTCTCAGTATAGGCAACATGTGGGAAACCAATAAATATGAAGGAACTAAACCTTTGACATAAGATTGCAAAACAGCCATAATTTATTACCTATCTTTATTTACCTGCATACCTCTTTGAAACTTCAGCCTGATTTATGAAGTCCCGTGTTATGCTCAAAAATCCTGTGCTTAATACAGAATAACAAGGGGACCATTAAGTATTTTTGATAGCATTCCATGAGTAAATTATTGCTACATTTCAGCATTTTATTACAACTTTGCCATTTTTGGAGGGTGGTGTGTTTTTCATCAACTCGGCACATATACTATAACTTGATCCCTGGCTTGCCTTCAGAAATCTGTCATTCTTGTATGTAACAGTGCTATCCGTTTACTATGCTGATATTTTTGGAAAAGGTAAGGAGTGTGGATTCACAGAACTGCACTGTGGAAAGTGATTGCATAAAGCTGTTTAGCATAATCTTTTGTATAATTTAGAATAGCCCACTTTTTACAACCCCCTAGTCAGACGCTAAAATTCCAAATAACATGCCTTAAGGACAAGTAGTTTGATGTTCCATGCTCTGCTTGAATCAGTCCCCAATACAGTTTCCAGACGAGCAATCCACATCTGGACTTTTTTTTAACAAAAAAACACAGGAATCTGCCTTGCACTTTATCTCACTGTTTGTCTGGCCCAATGCTGCCTAACTTGAGTGTGCTGGATCACTAGGATTTCAGTTAGATAACTCTTCAGATACTTGAATGGTTGTTGCATAGAGGAGAGGCGGGATCTGTTCTCAGTCATTTGAGTGCAGAAAACTTAATGGTGGGCCCATGTTACAGGAAGCCAGCTTTTGGCTGAATATTAGGAAAAACTTCCAAACTGTTTGAGCAATATGACAATGGAACTAATTACCTTGGGAGGTAGCGAGCAATCCATCACTGGAAACATTAAAGAGAAAGCTAGACCATCATATGTCAAATATACTTTAACTTAGATTCCTACCCTAAGCAGGGGATTGGACTTGATGGCCTTATGGGCGGGCCTCCTCAGCTCCATTATTCTTTGATCTCCCCAAGCCAGTTTTAGTCTTCCTGAAAGAAAAGGTGAAGCTCCTACTTCAGGGAGCAGCTCACAAAGGCCATATATTTTACATGCTGGACAGGATCGTGCCATGCATACTTTTGCTCGCCTAATACAACAAATGTTGGGAGCCCAGCTCTCCAATGTCCAGCGTTGATAGAATTTGGTGAAGATGTTTTCTGATTTATCTTCCAGGACACTTTATCTCTAATGCCTGGCTTTTAGGAGAACCTCACAGTGAAGCTTTTGGGTCTGGAGTGTGCTGTGGACAGCAGAGAGATGGCAGCAAGACAATGTTGGGAGTAGGATACGGGTGGCACATGCAGTGGTCAGGATAGCAGGGCTTCTTTACCATCTCAGGCAAGAGAGAAATTTGGGGCACTGCTGTTCTGAGGTCTGGTGTATGAAGCAGACACATCAGAGATATCTGATCAATACAAAGCTGTATTTCTGATCTCTTCCATTTGCTGCAGTGTCTGTTTCATATTTTAAAAATTAAAAGTGGTTCAACGTGTCTATCGTTTTAGCCATCTAAGATGTACAGATTTTTTTATGTTTCTGTATGCATTTTCCCAGACTTGTTCAGATACAAGATGGTCAATAGAAGGGCATATTTATACATATAGAAGAAGTCTCTCGTCAAGCTTTCACTCTATTGTTCGACCAGTATTCTGCTTGGTTTATGAAACCACACAGAGTACAAATTCAGCACAAATTAAACCATGTGTAGACTTAGGGTTGGTACCCAGTGTGGTGTAGTGGATAGTGTAATGGACCAGGACTCAAGAGACCTGGGTTCAATTCCTCAGCTTTGCCATGGAAATTCTTTGGGTGGAGGTGGAACTGGTAAAATCACTCATTAAATACCTCACTTAGATTGAAAGCCCTGTTAGGGTTGCTATAAGTCAGTTCTGATTTGAAAGCACATAAGAACAGATCTATAGTATGGTATAAAACTTGCAGAACCATATACTTAAAATACAAATGGAACGATCATTGCTCTGTAGTTAAAGGTTATGGTTGTTGAAGACATGGTTACTTCACAGATAATCTGTGATAATAAACAGTTCTGTGTACAACAGCTAAATATTTAGAAACATTGATATGTTATTGACTTTTTATCTTTCTCCTAGATATGGATATATAGAAGACAAAGTCGTAGTTCCCCGACATACCCCTTATCATCTCTGTGCAGCAAACAATACTGGGATTTACATACTTGCTTCAAATATATCTGACCGATATGATACATATTGCTTTAACTCATCAGGTATGTCTTGTTTTGTTCGTGTGCTTCTCTGTGGGCTTATTTCATAACCACACAACAGTGTCTCATTTGGTTTGCTAAAAAAAACTTTATATGATTCACTTTATGAAACAGAATAAATAAGGTACAAGAGAAGCACAACATATGCTAAAAGCAGTTTATTGAATGCCTTTGAAATTTGTCAAGTGACCTCTGGCCATATATTGTGGCCCTTGGTTCTACCCTCTCCATCAAGTCAAAACACATAAACAGAGAAACAAATGAGGAGGGGGAGGACCCTCATAGTCTGTGTCAGCCTGTTGCACATCTTGATGAAAGATTTTAAAGCTTTGTGAGATTCTTCATCTCTAGGTGAGAGTGAGACAAGTTCCCTGTAATTTGTACAAAGTTGCATAAATGGCCTACAATGTCCTTTTTCTCTAAGAAGGAAAGCACATACAGCAAGCTGAGAACGAATGGCTCATTTTTAAGAAAAGTGTAAACAAGCTATTCTATATGTCAGATATCTAAACAAGAATGCCAAGTGTTGAGTGGATTGTGAAATCAACATGGATTGTATAGTTTTGCACAAAGGGGTGAATTTTGCACAAAACATAATTCTCACCAATGCAAACATTCTGTCGAAAAAAATGAGAGATGCTTTTCTATTCTCACTAGTGAGAAGAATGTGGCAGATCTTTTCAAAATGGGAAGTTTTTTAAATAAAATGTTCTTATCCTTAAGATAGTTAGGGAGTAGATGCTCCTTCTAGGAGAGAGAAAAGATGTGGATCTTAACCTACATTTTAGCCTTTAGTTGTTGTCATCTTTTCTAAGATTTAGGTATCTCAATTTCTATTGATATATTTTTGCTTTTTAAAATGCAAAAGCTCATACTTAGTATGAATGAGTGTAGTGGTGTGCTGTTATGAGAGTCTGCACCAACAAGGGGAATTTCAATTTTATGTGGAAATGTTGAATTGTCATTTGAAACCTTTTGCAAAGCCAAATTTTCTTCGGAAGCCAAAGTTCCAGGTTTTTCTATTGCTTTTTTTTTTTTGCAAAAAAATAACTAAGTAATATTTTTGTTTTTCTTCCCCATTTTAGAAACAAGAGAAAAAGTATGTGACCCCGTGATAAAGTTATATTCTGTTTTGCCGAATAATAACAATACCATAGGTAAGACGTGAATGCCATACATTCTGAGTATACTTTAGAGACTTCATGCTGATGTTACAACTGATTGTTAGAAATCTAACACCATCAACAACAACAACAATTTGCTTCCTAAAATTCAAAAATCAATGATTTTGCAAACATGTAGTCACATCTGCAATTTTTAGCACCTGACTCCTAATTTTTAAATTTGATCTGTTGATCTGCTACATGTATTGGCAATGCTGATAAATAAGGAGTGCAACGTAATTATTGTTGCTATTGTTGTTATTATCATGGCATACTTTCCTTCCAGATTGTTTAGGGGGTTACATAAATATGGGCATATAACTACAATTAAACACACACATTTGCAAATAAATTGGCTAAAGATTTTGAAGCCCCCAATTACAGATTAGAATAAATGTGCACTTGGTGGTGGTATTTTTGAAGTCAGCATTGATGAGATCATTTGTATTTCCCAGAAGCGAGTTCCAAAAGCATGGGGCCACCAGCAAAAATGCCCTTTATCAGGTACCCATCATATGGTCCCAAACTGTTAAGAAATTTAAATGCCAAAATTGGCAACTTGAATGGGGACTAGAGAGTAATGGACAGGAAAATAGGGGTAATACAGTATGATAGAGGTGCCCAGTTCTAAAATATATTCTAACTGCCACCTTATGTACCAGTTTGAGTCTCTGAGATGTCTTCAAGTGCAGTTCTATATAGAACATATCATAGTAATCTAATCTGGATGCACTCAGAGCAAGGCTTAATTTAGTTAGGTCAGCTTTCTCTAGACATAACCATAGCTGTTGAATCAGCTTAAGTGGGTAAAAAAGGAATCCTGACAATTGATGTCACCTGTGTGTCTAAGGACAGCTTTGAGTTCAGGAAGATTCACACATCGTATTATCTGATCCTTCAGCAATTAGTGTGACTCTGTTCAGTGTAAGATCTAAACCCCTATTCAAGTTAGCAGGTTTCCCAACCTGTAATATTTCTGTTTTAGCCAGATTCACCTTCAGTTTTTTAGCATCTCGGAGGAAAATATATCCAGAGGATGCATATAATATTCTGGAAACATTTCAGAGGGGAAGAACCTACTATAGATGATAGCACAGTGTACTGTAATTTGATGTTAAAATAATCTAATTTTTGTAACCATTGGCTTTCTTTTTGTCTGCTAGAATAATACTAGCATTTTCAGTTAATTAAAAACATCCTATATTGCAATGATTAAACAAATGAACCCCTGTGGTTCATCATAGGAAGGTCTGAAGATGCAGGACCTTCTAAGTTGTGCTGTGTGTTAGAAACATTACAGTTGAGTGTGCCATTATATGTACAGTACGTTCTGCAGTTCAGACAACAGAAAAGTTCCTACATGTTCAGGCTGCCTTGAATACACGGATTACCACTATATGACAAGGCTGGTCATTTCCTAGGTTAGCACAACATACATTTAACTGTCATATACATAAGTAACCTATACCATCCTGACAATTGAACAAAAGAATGTTACTCATAAATTTCTATTTGGGTGTGAATCTGTGGGAAGAGACTGCGGCAAGATTTTATAATTGTCATTCAGCATTATATACGAACTGGGCTGACAGCTAAGTTAATGGTCCACTTTGGATGTACTGTAATGCTAAACTACAATTTGGTGCTGGATGAACAAGCCTCAGCTAGATGCCCCCCCTTCTCTTTCATAGCTGTGAGGAGGATAAGGGAAGTGTCCACTTGTTATTTTTAGTTAAGGACAGTGTATTGTTACATCCAGAAAGGACAAATGGTAGTCAGCATAAACTTTTGCCTGCAGATCCAATAACAATTTAAATATTACTGAAGAATATGCTGAAAAAGACATTTCTATTATCATGGCCACTCCAGAGAAGCAGAGAGTTCCTGAGCTTGGTGCTACTTGTTCATGTAGGACTAAAATAAAGGCAGAGAGGTTTTGGATTCCAACCAATACTTTATTATTATTAGTCATATTTTTGGGAGTTGCCATAGAAAACATCTGGAGAACCTACCATCCCAGCACCAAAGCATGCTTTGAATATACAGTGGACCCTCAACTTACAGAAGGCTCCACTTACAGACTTTTCGAGTTACAGACTTCTCTGGCTGCAAAATTTAGAATCGACCTACTGACCAGGAAAAAAAAAATGGAACAAAAATGGTCGGTTATGGATTAATCGGTTTTCAATGCATTGTAGGTCAATGGAGCCTCAACCTACAGACTTTTCGACCTGCAGCCACCGTTCCAATACAGATTAATTCCATAAGTCGAGGGTCCACTGTAAGTGGGTTAAGGTTACCACTTGATAAATAGGTACCTTTATTGAATAGGAGACCTGAAAATGTTCATTGATATTCAGCCTAAATGCTATATAAAAACCTTTACTTCTTTTCAATAGAGATTTTCAATGCTGATGGATCCCACTATATTGAAGGGGAAAAATATACAGACCGACCGCCAGTTACTGAAGATGAAACCAGTGCAGGCAGTGGTTCTGCGAACGACAGAGGAACAACAGAGCCCAACTTTATCAGGCATGGTGTCTCCCAATATCCCCATCCTGCAGGTATAACTAGAATTTAACAGAATAATAACGTGATAGGGTAGCAACTATAAACTGGGATAATTCTCTTCTCTGTTAGCCTACTATGTGTTAACCTACTGCGTTAACCAGAATTCTATTATGTGTGCATGATGACTTTAAGCCTTCTGATGTAAATTGCTGAGGCAAATTGCTGCTAGTTAAGATGTTGAGGCATGTATTTCTCATTACACGCAAGAGTAGAATAGTTACTTAGGAAAAAAAGAATGCTGCAAGGTACAGGGTTATGGTCCAAAGCAAACAGCACTTGAGAGCAACAGAAAAAGAAGGTTGGATTCTGGACTAGGGTGAGGGATGCCACACTACGCAATTTCAGTGGGGTACCTTGATGTCCAGACATGAACTGCTTGTGTCAAAAACTGACTAAACCCTGTTGGTGTGACTTACTATACTAGGGAACAAGATTTTAGCCATAATGTAACCTAGTTACAGCAAAATTTACTTCGAAGCTCTAGTTAAGATGTATCACAATTCTAGAGTTTACTTTGTTTAAATTAACAAAATGCTTATGCTCTATTTATGAGAAGAAGGGGAAGCACCTGAGACCACCCCACCACAATTATGTAGCCTAACCATATAATAAGATCACTGGATGAAATTCTTTTGCTTTGTTACGTATGAAGGGGACAAATATCACAGCAATATATTGTTTCAAGTTGTCAGTTAACAAGTTCCTGGTGGAATTCTGGAGAGTGTGCACCCCTCAAGAAACCCAGTGGTGACTTGTTAATTGCCAGCTAGAAGCGACTGAATTTTTCCATATGTGTAACAAAGCAACAGGATTTCAGAGATGGGGTCTTTTGCTCACTGTGTATTCCACTGCTGCTATGAGAGCCTTGGAATGATAATTGTAGCTAAGCTATTTTTGAAAGTGACTTTCAAAAAGAAATAAGAACAAACATTCTGTTTATTTTTGTTTTTGTTCCTTTTTTCTCCTTTTTGTAGATTAAAAAAAAATTTTTTTTCCCAAAACTTTAAATGAGCTCTCTTCCTAAACAACTTGGAATTGGCTTGAAGTAAGTTGTAATTAAGACTAACCATAGCCTGGATTTGGGCATAAGCATTGTATTGTTTTTGGCTAAGGTGAGAGACAAGCTATAAGGAGCATGTAAGCTCGAGGTTCTTCTAGCCATATTCATATAATGATGTGGCCAAAATAGATCCACATAGTCTTCCTGAAGGGCAACCTGTATCTTACAAATAGCACATCGGTAGAGATGAGAACATCTGATTGGCCTAAGAGATATTTTCCACACCTTCCACAAACTGCCAATTAGTTTGCTTAGTTTTAAACCTAGTCACAGGGAGACAGGCACAGGCTTTGTTTGCAAGTATGAATAATCAGTCACAAAGATCTGCATGATTTGTGCCTTTGAAGCCCTAAGGGAATTTAGCTTCTATCTGCACCTCATAAATTGGCCTAGAAACCTAGGATGGAGGAAGAGTTGTGGGAAGAGAAGAAGAGTGATTTTAAGTTACAGAAAAACTGACATCTTATAAAGAATTAGTCATCAAAACAGTGTGCTTGGTGGTTCACTAACTCAAAAGATTTCACCTCATTCATCTGTGGTTACACAGATAGCAGTACCATTCCATACCTCATCGGCAGGGATGATGAAGTTTCTGATAACTATGAAGAAGGTAATTCTGAAGACCAGCACCCCAAAAGTACTAGTAAGTGTAGTAAATTGTAATATCTGTATTTTGTGTAGACTTTACCAAAGCACTTTTTAACGCAGCTGGTAATTTACAACTCCTGTGGTGATGAATCTTTTATCTAATGCTCAAATGACCTCTGGGCGTCATGTGTTTCTGGACTGATTGAATACAAAGTAAAGTCAGTATGTGGTAGATATTAGACAGAGTAAGATTTGGTTCATATAATCACACTGTTTTGTAGTTGCTACACATGAAAGTGGTGAGCTCATAAACCCTGTCTTTTTTTTTTTTTTTTTTTTTTTTAAGCAGCATAGATTTTATGTCAGGTTATCTGACTGGAATGGTGGATCTCCCTCAAAAGAGGGAGTGGTGGATTTAATGCACTGAGCATTCACACTGATTACACATGATGTTCTATCAATGATAGTGGTGGGCTGAAACTAACTCCAGGAAGCAATCTTGTCTGTGCTTATCCAATCTGTGCTGAAAGGTATGATTAACAGGCTATTATATTCATATCTCTGGTGTGCTGTTCTGACAAATGTCCAGGCGTCAGCACATCCTTTTGTAAAGTAATCATCTGGAAAGAAGTAATCATTTTTCCCCCAAAGAGCTTTGTTCAATATGTGAAAGAGATTTTCTGCTTTGTTTCATTCAGTATGACTGCATGGACTCAGTATGTTTCTAGATGCTAACTAAGGACCTGTCCAGACTGGCCATTTTCGGTGCAGGGTGGATCAGGCTACAAAGGGTCTGTTGAGGGAGTGGGGGAGAAGTGAGGTCCCATTTAGTGTGCTCCTCCCATCCCCACACCAAACAACCCCCTTGTGGCCTGATTAGCTATTCATTATGTTCTTTCCCTGATCCTTTGTGAAGGGACTGTGAAAGTGGGTCTTCTTCTCCATGCTACAGATCCATTCGAAACAAGGTTTACTTGGTTACTCAGAAGTAAGGAGAAATTGGACTGCTGCAGCAGGAGGGGAGGACATTGGAGTGAAGGTCGGGGAAACAGAAGGGAGGTAACTGATGGGCCTATGGTGCTTTGTGGCGCCAAGCCAATAGAGTTAACACAGTCCCCTTTCCCTTGCCTTTTCTCTCAGATATCATTCAGGGAGTGTGGGGACCTTTGTTAAAAAGGTCATTGACATATTGAAATGGCAGTGCATCAAACCTGGCATGATTTTAGAATTTAACTGAGTCAGTTGGGGAAATATTTAAAATAAAAGAAGATGAAAAGAGAGAAAGGGTTTCTCCATCCTCCTTTCAATGCCAAAACCTACCTAATACATCACAGGGTTGTCTTTTCAGATAACGCTGCCCCACAGTGTCATTTTGGTGAAAGTACCCATCTGTGAATGCTAAGCAGAGAGCTATTTTGCATCTCAATAAATTGTGCCAAAGAGATTGCATACTATAGCCGTGTGCCAGTTTGATGTTGGACAGCCCTTAAAGGGGAAGGAAGGGTAGATCATTCTAAGTCGAACCACAAGTGTACAAGGTTTTTTTTTCTTTTGTACCAAGGAATGCCATCAGGGTTCCATATACCATAACTATATGCCAGTCCGGACAGGCTCCAAGACCTATGTGCAAACATATATTATGTATCCAGTCCGTACGGTGTGTTGAAACAACAACAGAGTGCTTGAAAGAATGCTGCTCAAGGATCTCTTTTCCCTCCCTCATGGATGATAAATAAAAATCAGTCAGCATGTTCTATAAACACACATCTGCATGCCTGCACTCTCTCACATGCATAGAGGATGTAAGGGTGTGCATGAGAGAGCGCGTGCAAGAGAGAGTGATCTCCATTCGAGTTCTGGGGTCTAAGTGTTTCAGACGGGACTCTAGCTTCCACATTCCTCTTGGATTTCTTCATATGAAATGGTTTGTATATGTCTTGATTATTATTTATGTACTCTACGAACCAAAACCAAACATATGTTGATAGGAACAAGAAAAGGATCACTTTCCTCATTTATGCACACATAAAAGTGTTCCTAGGTTGTAATTTAAGTGAATTTGTTCATTCACTCAATGAAATGTGTTTCTGCTTATGTTTCCTCAGATTTAGTTTTGCATTTTGGGGGTGTCGTATGTAATGCAACAGCATTGTTAATGGAAGATATTTGAGATGGGCGTTCGTATACGTGGCACCACAAGCGCTGTGCATTCCCTTCCCCTGCCTTCCCTGGCCAAAGATCCCCACAATAGTCAGAGCATGCTCCTCTCCTCCTCCTCCTCCTCCTCCTCCTTCAGCTGTTT